ATAAAATGTAATAAAGTATGAAAAGTGATTAGGCTAAAGAAGGGAAAACTGTCTAAACAGGAGACTTGAGAGTTGTTTCACCAGAGGTGGCAGTTGAACTTGATCTTGAAAGATGTTAGGAGTATTCTAGATAGAAGAAAGGTGAAGGGGAGGTTTAAAATTAATTACTTAATGTTAAAAACAAAAAAAGAATTATTTCAGTCATCATCCTTTGTCAAAATCTCTTTCAGTGTATGTCATTTGGGTGGCTGGTGATAGTGGTGGTGGGGATGAGGAAGAAATATAACTGATAGTATGTTCAGAATGAAGCTGAAATCAGGTTTATGAAGCTCAAGTTTAGGTCTGTTTCTACCTATGAGATAAATTCAGTGCTTTAAATGGTAGGAGTCAGTATAACCTTTAAAACTAAAGAATTACCCAACTAGTTAGTATGCTGTCAGGAGAGGGTAATATGATTTAAATGGAATTGGCTCGCTTAACTCCCTCTGCATTGTGTATGTTTGTGAACTTCAACTCTGTTGCTCATGTAGAGGTTGAGTATTCTCTTGACAACAAGCTTCCAGTTCCAACTAGCACCTGTTGACTAATTGGTATGCCCAGTTCTGGTACGAGAGCCTCTGGAGAGTTTGTGTTTGAGTTCAACTTCTTCAGGTTTAAACTGGAGCATTAACATGAAGGCCCTTTGTGGTCAGCTTGTTGATTGAGAATGAAAAGGCAAACATAGGAAGGGAGAAGAGAGAATGAAACCTGTGGATAAAAATGACAGTTAATTTACATTAGGATGCTTTTCATCTCAACTTACATATTAAAATGTTTTACTTGCTGTCTGGTATCCCCTTTCTAAATTTTGCTGGCATTGTAAACGATAGAGGAAAAGAATGACCAGTACCTGAGATGATACCGTTTTCTAGTATATGTCTGTAACAAGATAGTTTATTTTAGACACTATATATGCTTTTTCTCTTTTTTGAAAAAACTGTAGACTGATAGGTTTCCTATCATCTGTGTTCCCATGGCACTTTACTACGGTGCATTCATTTTTAACACTTATGAAATTATGCTGTTATAATTGTTTATTTTCTTTTGCTAGGCTGGGCGTTCTAGCGGTGTGTGGTGTCAGTCATTTCTACTGCTAGATCTAAAATGGTTCTGGGCATGCAAATGTTTGAGCTGAAATGGAATTAAATTGACATATGGATTGCATCAGGTGGTTTATACTTTATCCTACTAAACATAACAGGTCATCAGCAACAAAAAGGAAAGGGGATTGCCAGTTAGTTTTTATTTGAAACTTTTCCCCTCTTTTCCTTCCTCCTGTCTTTTTTCAGCTCTTATCCTGTTTACCAGGGTTAAATTAAAACATATAGATAGGAGATATTCACTGGAAGAGTCATTCTATTGATGAGGAAGCTTTTATAGTGGTTCCATGTTTATGGACTTGTCTCTTCCCTGGCCTCTGCCTGACCCCTAAAAATACACAAGTTATATTTCTTTTAGTTCTTTCCTCCATGGTGCTGGTTCTCTTGGAGCTGCACCGTAAATTGAAATAAAACCTTTGATATTTTAGAAAATATAATCTCGTAGGATTAAGCCTTTAGACTAACTGCTGATGACTCTACCAAAATGTCTTAAGAGTGTCAATTTGGAATTTGAGCTTTGAGTGATGGCTTTATGTATGAATGTCTCATAAATTTTTTCCAAGAGCAAATTTTTTTTTTCTAATTGGCTTGAACAGTCTTTGCTTTTACAAAGTGCTTCAAGCAGTTTTCAGTAAATCAATTCAAATCCACAGTTGTTTGAAAACTTTCCTTGAGTTACTGTGATTCTCAGGAGACACCCAGAAACACTCCCTAATTAGCATATTAATCATACCTTGTTTGAGTTGGGCAAACAAGCCTAACGAATAAACTAAATTACTGGCGGGATAGTCAAAGAGCATTTAATCTTATAAAACACAAGAATAAAAATACTCAACAGACAATTTTAGGGTATAGTTCGTGCTTTTCTGATCTCAAGTTTTTTTTCTTACTGTATGAGCCACTGAGTTCATCTCAAGTAGAAATAAGGTCATGGTTAATACTAGACCACTTCAGAGGGCAATTTATCCGGTGACTTGTAGAATAATGATTAGTTTTAGGGGCTTGAGGGCAATTAGTAGCATTTAGTACCTGTCATCTTGAACAACTCTTTGCCTCTATCCCTAATACTGCATGCCCCTAAGCCTGGAATAACAACTTCTGTATTCTTATTGATGAGTTGAGAAATTTTCTGGTTAACTGATTGGGGATGGCGTGATTCATTAGTATAAATGGTTTGGGGAGGTAAAATGCCCAAGGAACATGATACATTATTTTCTTGGTTATAAAGTTTGAAAATATTGTAATCCTAGCTCTGCCATCCAGTATCTGTGTGTGATCTAATGGAAAGTTATGTAGGTGTTTCCCTATTCATATAATGGGAATAATAATACATGCCTTGGAGAGTCACTGTGAGAAATTACACAGAATATGTGATATGCCCAGCACTGTACTGCAACAGATGTTATCCTCTTCTCTCTCCCTTATTAATTTAGGAAAAGTATAATATTTTAGTTGGTCTCTATACCAGTTGAGTTTTACTAGGTAACCTATCTCCTCCCCATTTTTCATGGCATGGCTTTTCTTAGGTCCCTGCCAAATAACTTCTTGCTTGCTTAGTGACACTAGCATTGTTGATTGATATCTTTTCCTTTTGGACAGGGAGTGAGTACTTCCTGTATCCTTGTCCATCTGGCTAGTTCGTTGTATACAATCAAGATTTCCCCCATCTTAATTGCAAATGACCAAAAGGAAAGCTAGTTAATGCTGCTAAGCGATATACAACATTCTCATGGCTTTTGAGCTGGCAAATGTAATTCTTTGCTGCCTTTTAGCCTGAACTAAAGTTTAGGAATATTCCTTTTCTAGAAGTTTGTTGTATTCTGTTCATGTCTAAGCTGAAACGTGTACCATAGCTTAATTGTTATGTGTAGAAAGACCTATAATATTTATATGATACATTTTATTCAATTGCTCTAAAATTCTTGCTCATTTTAAATCTGGTTTATCATGGTTCTACTTCTTACTCTTCTATAATATAGAAATAGGCAACATTAGATTTTGATAGCATTGGAAGTTATTCTAAATTGCTATTATTCTATATTTGAAGTAATTACATAGAATATCTTACTAACTATATAGTTGGCCCTCCACATTCATGGGTTTTGCATTCAACAGTATTTTCGATTTGTGATTGGGAATTTGTGGATGCACACTAGCAGTATTCATTTGCATCCAACAGTATTTTCGATTTGTGGTTGGGAATCTGTGGATGCACACTGGCAGTATGCATTGTTCTGTGCCATTTTATATAAGAGACTTGAACATCCATAGATTTTGGTGTCTGACAGGGGTCCTGGAACCAATTCCCCATACATACCGAGGGACAGCTGTAAGCTTAAAGTGTGCATTTGTCATATTAATATATATAAGTAGTATAGCGTAGAACTCTAGTAGAAACATTTCAGATAAGGAAAATAATTGTAAAAATGGCTCAAGGATCTGTGTGGTTGAGTTTATATTGAAATACTGAGTACATTTTGGGACTTTGGATTCAGATTCCATGAAAAGTCAACTCTAGGCCTTTCTGTACTATCGTTTCAGGGGCTTGAAAGGCTTCTGTGATTTGATTGTATTCTGAGTATGATTTAAAATCATAACATTAAGCCACTAATAATCAGTTATTTTAAGTTTTTTTCCTCTCCTTTATTTTATGTTGAGGGAAAAAAACCCAACTCTCCAAACTTTAAAACATCTCAGCTTTTCAGCCTTATATTTTGCTACCAAAATTGTAGGTAGAATGAATTTTATTGGTATTCATTTCATACCTAGAGCATCTGTAAAGGCAATGTTGTAATCTAGAACTCCTGGTTAATGATCATGTGATTTTGCTTTTCTTTAAGCTACATATTTTAAGTTTGATGAGTATCTTGTGTGAAATTTTGCTTTTTTATTTAATCTCCCTTCCCGGTAGTATTGTGCCACCTAGTGGAAATTTATGTTCTTTAACATGTCTCAGAGAATCTAGATGGAATGCAAGATGCATTTTTTAGCATGTTAAAAAAAAATCGTTTGGAATGTTTGAACTTCTTGGTTGACTTGGAATTCTTTAGAACAATGATTGCTTTCCTAAATAAGAGTTCAGGATAAAATTCTTAGTGAAGGCTTAGTAAATGCCTTAAGATTATGAGCTATTAAGTGTTAAAATCTGCTCTTTTTTCCAACAAGAAATACCCTACATTTATTTTCTTAATGAAACTTTAACCAAAGCATATTATGTTTCTGTCAGTTAATATTAAAGTAATTGTTGCTTTATGGATCTTGTCAAAATCTATCCCCCCGCCCCACCTTAGGTTTTAATGTTGTGCTTTTCTAAGCAGACTGTAATGGAGTTTACATGTTATATACACGATCTAGGTTTATTTTGAAGTAACAGAAAAAAATACATTGGATGATAAATATTAATGAAATGATCTAAAGGAAAAAATATACTACCTTGAGCCTGAAATAATTTAGACTTTTATCATTTGAATACTTCTTACCAAATGACAAGGTAAACTCTTATTTGTGCTTAACTCAGATATAAATAAAATGTAAGATTTTATCAGTGGAAGAGTTTGTGGTCCTTGTTTCTTGTTATTAAATATGAAGAAGGTGTCCAATTCTTTTTGAGGTATTCATGTTCACATTTTTTGTAGGACTTGAGAAACATTTCTGTCTACGAGTTGGCTGTTCTGTATAACTAAACTGGAATGTGAACTCCGAGGTTGTCTTCAGAATATTCATTTATGATAAAGAATATTGAGAATTATCTAACCATTTAGGGAAATTAATTCTGAATTACAAGATTCAGTCATTCAAGCATATAACACCTTCAGAGTCATGGATATTTTATAATGTTTTTATCTTACTATTCTTTCTTAGTTGCTGATGTATATTCATGATGAGCGGATTAGGAGAAAACTCCTTGGATCCACTGCTCCCTGATTCACGAAAACGCAAATTGCCATGTGATACCCCAGGACAAGGGTAGGCAATTTCATGATGCTTCATCAAGGTCTCCATCCCCCTGCCTTTATTTTTTGGTTTAAAGATAACATTTCGACGTTCTGTTATTTATATTCTCTGGTTTGATTTTTTTTGGTTTTTGTCTTCGCTTAAGTACTATTATTTTGCTTTATAGTAAGTAGTGATACAGTAATGAGATGGACATCCTTATGATGTAATAGAAGCTTCTTCACTGATTCAGATAGGAGTGAGAATATTATACTAACAGTCTGTGATACTTTAGGAAGCATTTCTCAGCGGAAGAGGTAGGAGTTAGGAATAGATAACCAAGATTGTTATAAATAAGAATCTTTAATATCTTTTAAGAACACGTTATAAGTTGATATTTTTGCATATGTGAGGTTTCATTATTTTTCTGAATTTAGACATTTAAAAAATAGAAATAAAATATTGCATTTTTTGCAGTGATATTCTGTAGCCTTTTTAGTATTTGCCAAGGTCAGTATCATTTGAATTTTAATGTGATAGGTGAAAAATAAAAATAATCTACAATTCATAAAACTTCATCATTAATACCTAGCTACGACTGTTTTTATTATTATTTGTTAGTTTTATTGTTTCTATGAGGTAAAGACTTTATCCCCAATTTTCAGATAATAAAACTGAGACTAACTCTGCTCATGCCCACTGGGCTAACAAAAAGATGGACTTGAATTTGTTCGCGTGAATTTCTGCTATATTCTACTACTTCTCCAAGGCAATGTTTTGATAGTTTCTATGGGCTAAATTTAGTTTATTTATGTAGAAAGGTAATGGTGTGGTATAGGGACTGATTCTGCTTATGGCTCTTTTATGATAGGTGTATTCATGGCTTTTTTTCCCCCTTCCTCTTCTTAGTCTTACCTGCAGTGGTGAAAAGTGGAGACGGGAGCAGGAGAGTAAATATATTGAAGAATTGGCTGAACTGATATCTGCTAATCTTAGTGATATTGACAATTTCAATGTCAAACCAGATAAATGTGCAATTTTAAAGGAAACAGTAAGACAGATACGTCAAATAAAAGAGCAAGGTAATACAAAGTAAGAACAACACTCAAGTCTTTTAGAAGGAGCTCGTTAACCGTGTTTACAATTGCCTTTTTCTTACCTTGTTGATCAGGTAGGGACTGCTGCTAATCAGGCTAGCCTCTGTGGGAGTGGACAAATGAGTTGACCAGCTTTGCTCTTTAGGAAACCGTTAACAGAACTGGAAAAAGGCCAGTGTTGCTCACCCTGTCACATGTTAGTTCCCTTTCAGGAAGCCATGGGATAGTAGTATGTTTAGTAGTGAAAGAAAATTTAGGGTATCTTCCGCCCTCCTGGGTAACTCTAAAATTTAATTTTAACATTTGAATATTGTGGCATAATTTTCTTATTAGGAAATGTTGTGTGTGTACATATGCATGTGTGTGCGTGCCTCTTTGTGTCTGTTCTGGGGACTCTTTGAAGGTGGATATAATCTGTCACTGATATGTGTGCTATTTGTAGTACTGCTTTCTGTCTTTTTAGGAAAAGCTATTTCCAATGATGATGATGTTCAGAAAGCTGATGTATCTTCTACAGGACAGGGAGTTATTGACAAAGACTCCTTAGGACCACTTTTACTTCAGGCAAGTATATGGTTTCAGCTACCAGTAAGCTCTGTTGATTTCTTTAAAAAGAAATTGTTGAAACTTTGGTTAGGTAATAAGAACAAAAACACATCTTTCTTTTTATGAGACAGAACTCAATATTCTGAGTATGATGATAGTAAAGTGCTCTCAGATTTACCATGTATATAAAACTCAAGAGGTCCCATGGGGGAGGGGGACCCTCATAAAAACTTAGTTGCAAACTGAGAAAGCAAACAAAACATAAAAAGAAGCCAGAGAGGAAAGGTAATGCACACTTTCACAAAGGTTATATTTGGGCATATCTTAGCTCAGACTTTTTGGTGCATTTTTGCATGATCATATAATTTTACATTCTCGAGGAATTTTTAAGGCTTAAAAATTGCATTGTTTTCTAAGTAGCTGTCTTAAATAGACATAATTAATCTATAGCACTTAGAGAATGTTTCTCTTACTTGAAGTCTGGGTCTGAAACCTTTCGTAAAGTTCACTTGTCAACTATTTTTGTTTGAAGTAATTTGCTCCATCTGCTTTGTAGTTGATCAGTTCAGTTCCTCTGTAAATTCTCATTACGGAGTAGTGTAATTCCTGTAGCTTGATTTGGTATCAAATGGAAAAATAGGAAGTGCGGAGGGTGATTTTCTTATTTTTAAAGTTTTGAAGAGGTAAATCTTCAAAAATTAGATTAGACATTAATTCAGATTTTATATTGACTATTTGTCTTTTTTTTCAAATTATTTTTTATAAAATCTTGTGGTAATGGCGCTAATGTTAAAAGAAATGGTGGCTGATAGTTGTTTGCAGTTATTGTTAAATCAGCAGTAGTTTTTTCAAATTCTTAGTACTAAGGTCAGTGTCTTAGTCAGCTAAGGCTGCCATAAAAAAATACCACAAACTGCTTAAACAGCAGAAAATCATTTTTTAAAATTCTGGAGTTCTGCAGGTCCAAGATCAAGTTGTTGGCAGGCTTGATTTTGTTCTGAGACCTCTCTCCTTGGCTCGTAGATGGCTGCCTTCTCACTGTGACCTCACATGTCCTTTCTCTGTGCATCCCCGGCATCTCTCTCTTTTTATAAGGACACCAGTCATATTGAATTAGAGGCCTGCCCTTATGACTTCATTAATTACCTCCTGGAAGCCCTATCTCCAATCACATTGAGGGTTTAGGCTTCAAATGATATAATATAGTTCAGTCCATAATATCCCATATCAACATATTCCACTTTAGGCATTGGATGGTTTCCTGTTTGTGGTGAATCGTGATGGAAACATTGTATTTGTGTCAGAAAATGTCACACAATACCTGCAATATAAGCAAGAGGACCTGGTTAACACAAGTGTCTACAATATTTTGCATGAAGAAGACAGAAAGGATTTTCTTAAAAACTTACCAAAATCTACAGGTAGGCTTTTAATGTGTATTTTCTAAATAAGTTGAAAAAAATTTTTTTCTTGACCATTTCTTAGAAAATTGAGCATACCTTTTTAGGAACCAAGTGATTAAATTTGTGTAGAAAGGTAAGTGGTTAATAGCAAAATTTTCAAATATGACCTCAATGAATTTAGATTATGGTAAACATTTAACGTGGCCAAAATATACAGTGAGATTTCTACTTTAATTGAAATTATTCCAAAGTTCTATATATAGCAGTCTCCCCTTATCCAGAGAGGATATATTCCAAGACCCCCAGTGTAGATGCTTGAAACCGTGGATCACACCAGACACTAAATATACTGTTTTTTCCTATACACACATATATATACACACACATGCATACATACATATATACATACATATATGCATACCTTTCTAACTGAAAGAAAGCACTTTATGGCTTCTCTTTGGAGTATCTGAATTGCCAACATCACTACTCTTGCTCTTTGGGGCCAATATTAAGTAAAATAAGGGTTGTTTGAACACAGGCACTACAGTACAGAGATGCTCGATCTGATACCAAGATGGGTATGAACTGACTAGCAGGCAGGTGGTGTATCCACATGGATATGCTGGACAAAGGAATGATTCATGTCCTGGGCAGGTGGAGTGAGATGGCATGCAATTTAAAACTTATAAATTGTTTATTTCTGGAATTTTCCAGTTTATAGCTTTGGACCATGGTTGACCATGGGTAACTAAAACTGTGGAAAAGGGGGAACTCTGCTGTATTGCCACCTTGAAATGTTAGCACAGACGTTACTATGGAAAACTTGTGTAATGAAAAAATACAGCCTTAATTCTTGATGATGGTCATCGCCTGAATCACCAGCTTTCAAAACTCCTTTCAATTTGTTTTCCAAAGTTAATGGAGTTGCTTGGACAAACGAAACCCAGAGACAAAAAAGCCATACATTTAATTGCCGTATGTTGATGAAAATGCCACATGATATTCTGGAAGACGTAAACACTAGTCCTGAAACACGCCAGAGATATGAGACCATGCAGTGCTTTGCCCTGTCTCAGCCACGTGCGATGATGGAGGAAGGGGAAGGTAAGAGAGGTCACGTGCGTGACGTTTATCAAGCAGATGGCAGTTAAACTTATAGTTTTATAACTCCTATCATTACAGTTTTTACTGCATTTCATGTCTTTACTTGCCAGTTGTACAGACATATTTAAAAGTTATGTATGTTCCTTACCTGGGTAAATTTTTATCGTAGATCTGCAGTCCTGTATGATCTGTGTCGCACGCCGCATTACTACAGGAGAAAGAGCATTTCCAGCAAACCCTGAGAGCTTTATTACTAGACATGATCTTTCAGGTAAAAACTTTGTGTATTGTGTATATACATTTTGTTCATTTTGGAAACTTTTAGAAAAGTTAACTGTTCTACAGCCTGCATTATCATTTAAGTGCCAGCAACCACTGTAATGAATGCTTTGTGTAGATTATTTCCTATTTTTCTTATACAACCCTGAGAGAGTGTCACTAAAACCCTTAGCGTTTGAGTTGGGTATATTTGACACTTAAAATCTCCTCAATAAATTAAAAATAAATGTAGAGGTACCTGGCCTTCTATCTAAATATTATTTTAAGTCAGAGATTATTATTTCTTTTCTCTAACTTCAAACCCACTTTTCATAAAGGAATAAAATTTCAAAGGTATCGGTGATTTGAATGAGAATTATTGGGCGTAATCTTGACATGAGCTTTATTTTAATCTTGGACACCCTTTTTTGACCACCGGAGTAAAGAATTAAAGCCAGTGTGGTTGATAAAGCTAAGGCACAATGATGAAATTAAACACAGAGGGAATGTTATCTGTATTCACCTTGTGATCATTCAGAGTCACTCTTGTGATCATCTGACCCTAAATGGTGATGGCCAAGGGTTTGTCACATATACTACATCTCAGAGATTGAGGAAACAGGCCTGGTGACAGAGAGTTTGTGTTACTTGTCCAAGATCATGGCTAATAAGAAGAGAATTTGCAGCTAAGTCTGCTCGACGTCAGAGCATGTACTGTTGGTTTTATGTCCATCATGTGGACCTTCAGTAACTAATTTGGTAAACTGGAGTATGTTTAAATAAACACTTAACTTGTAGCTACTATATATATATGTGCATGTGTATATTTATACATATATGCATATGTATATATATTACATACATACATAATAATATTTTACTGTAAAAATAGCTGTTTTTGCAGTCATCAATCATTTTATGCCAGGCTACTTTTCTAGAGGTCGCTTGAGATTAATTTTCACAGATGAAAAAAAACAAAGTTAGTTATTTGTATTTTAAATTGTCAATCTATTTACACTGATGAATATTACTTTATATTGGAAAATTTTCTGTTAACTTACCTTGAGATCATCAAACTTTGTGAGAAGAATTTTTATGTGTTATATTATCCTTTTAGTGTGGTTTTTTTTGCTGGATCTGTTAGGATTTGGCAGTCTACATTTTTCCTTAAATAACAATACTTCATATTTTGTTACTAAAAATACTAAATAAAACATCTTTACCCAAGCAGTTCAGCGAGTAGAACCTTTAAAAGTTATCAATATTTTTTCCTTAGTATAAAAGCAATACATATTTATTATAAAGTTAGAAATTATCAGGCCCCCCCCAAAAAATCACGTTGTGTAACATCTGAGAGCCATCGAACTATAGAGTTGGTACATTCCAATTGCTGTCCGTTCCTCATAGGAGGTTTGTTGCACTCCACACAATACTTTTTTTGGCCTTTGGGGAGATTTTTTATCCTCTGTCCCTGATGTGTTTTATTTAACACATTTTCTTTTGAGTATCTATTTTGTGTTTGTCATGTGGCTTTCAGAGCTAGGTCCAGGGGAGGTGGTTGAGGACAAATCTGTCTTATTCTTGGCATAGCACACAAATGTTCACTCTCTCTGGAATGCATATGTCTCTTCTCTTTAATCATTTTTACCCCATTAATGAGACTTTTATTTTTTACTATTAAAGGCCTGAATTTTAAACAGATTCTTAGACTAATGGCTAGTATCTAAGAGCTTATTCTACACTAGTGCCTTTTTAGCATTTCCAGAACTGGCTTTCACCATGAAGCTCTATGAGTTTTCCCAATACAAACTTGATTTTCTTCGTTTTTTACTTTCCTCACAGCCATGTCATGGAAAGAATAAACAGATTGGCAAATCTTTTCTATATCTTTCTCAGTCTGTCTGGAATCAAATTATCGATCACTTTTTAAAAAATCACTGTACCTCTTGTCATGATTTACATCACATCTGGATTTGCTGAGCATAGGTCATTAGGATCTGAGTATTGCATTTTTTTTAATTAAACTCTGCAGAACAAACAAAAACAACCATTGGTAGTCTTACATCACCATGAGCTTCAATCGTAGTTTAACATTTTTTGACCATGGGGTATATTTTTGTCACAGAGATCCATGTCATGGTGGTTGATCACACAGTGTTTGCCTTTGGACATTGTCAGTAATTATTTTGAATTTTTTTAAGTGCAGCTTCAGCATTCTGCAGATCAGCAAGGCTCACTTCAGTAGCACAACTCTGGAGGCCATCAGAGGCGGTCTTGGTTCCTTGAGTCCTTGTGGTTAGTGTTGTCCCGAGATTTCTCATGCTGAACATAGCTGGTGCTTTCATGTCATTCCAGTCTCTGAAAATGGGTCGACCACTTTGGTCTTGACTCCCTTTTCGCCACTTTTTGTAAGATGTGTTTTTGCACCTGCCTTCCCTGGTGCTGCTCAGAAAGGAAGAGGCCAGCCAATTTTTAAGGACCATCTTCACAAAACTTTCTTTAATTTCATAGCACTTTTGAATTGTATATATTTCGTCTCTTTAGTGTGTTTGATATTAAGCAAAAGTTGTTAGAAAATTCCATAAGACATGAGTATTGGGTTAACCCTCCTAGTTTAGACTTTAAGTGTCCAAAAATGCAGTCACCTCTCAGATGGAAGAATTGTAGCTGCTAGCTGTTAAGGCAGGTATTTTCTCTTGCTTCATAGTTGCAGGGATAGAATATCTTCAGATATGAACAAGTTTATTGGTAGGTGGAATTTTTCCTTAAATGAAAATGAACCTGAGGTTATCTGGACGTGTTACTTTTTCTGTATGTTCACAAAATCAAAGGAGTTGTGTGATACACTCTTATTGTCTGTAGAGCAAAACACTTAATGTAAGAGCTTGCAGTGGGACTATGCTGTTGATGAAAAGCTCTGGATATAGCAGAAATTTGCATCAGAGAAGGTGGAGCAAAGATTTAGTGTCTTTATTTTATTTTTTAGTGCTAAGCCATGCCATGTGCAACAGTAAATACTAGTAGGTTGGATTTAAATCCTTATTTTCTGTTTAATAGGAAAACTTGTCAATATAGATACAAATTCACTGAGATCTTCTATGAGACCTGGTTTTGAAGATATAATCCGAAGGTGTATCCAGAGATTTTTTAGTCTTAATGATGGACAGTCATGGTCCCAGAAACGTCACTATCAAGAAGGTAAAGAATTTTGAGGTTAATCTTGATATCGTTTGTCATTGTTTTTGACATGCTGTAAAGCATGTCAAAGTATGTATAAGAACCGTAATTGTTGTTTTGTGTGTGTGGGTAGGAAAATGATTCTTTCGAGCATTCTTAGATTAGATTGTTCATAATTTTGGTGCAGGTCCAGTCTTTCACTGGATTTTGAAAATGTTGCGTTTGAAGTACATTTTTCTTTCCTCTCCTCTATGTGTCTGTTTGCCAGTTGTAGTTAATAGTAATGAGATCTTTTCTCCCACAGCTTATATCCATGGCCATGCAGAAACTCCAGTGTATCGATTCTCTTTGGCTGATGGAACTATAGTGACTGCACAAACCAAAAGCAAACTCTTCCGAAATCCTGTAACAAATGATCGTCATGGCTTTGTCTCAACCCACTTTCTTCAGAGGTAATGATAGATTACTATGTATTCTGATACAAATGCAGCATTCTCAAGATGTGTTCTTATTAATGTAAAAGAGAGGAAATGTAATGAGAAAAAGCAAGGATGTTAGATTTGCTGAAGTGTGTTTAGATTCCTGGATATGTTTCTTTAAGGTTATATTTTTATGTGAAAATGTGTATTCATTAAATAATTACTTGCTGGGAGATGGGAAGGCTGAAAGAGCATATAAAGTCTTGACTCCCTCTGTTACCTTTCATTTCTAATGATAAACTACATTGCTTTTAGGGATTGAATTTAAAATTTGAAAGTAGACTTTAAGAATAAAGGGTTGTTGCTGTTGCTGATGGTAAAAGAACAACACGTGAATATTCATCCATTAATTATTTTGAGTAGTTTGCAAGCACCTCCACGTTAACCCTTAGATGGCCACTCTAGCAAAGCCCTGCTGAGATTCCACTTAACATAGCTATTGGCCCTTCACAGTGCTATGGTGGTGTCACTTATTTAGCTTTCATAGCTTATTAAAAAGTATGTTATTAGGTTAATAATTGATAATATCTACATTGGAATTGTCGCCAGATATTGGAATGATGCCTAAGAAGTTACGTTCCTGGGCACTTAACTTCATCCTTTAAAAAAAAAAATCAGATTCAGGGCTTTTGTGTATGACTGTAAATTTTTAGTAAAAGTTTGATGTTTCTTTCTTTGCAGGGAACAGAATGGGTATAGACCAAACCCAAATCCTGTTGGACAAGGCATTAGACCTCCAGTGGCCGGATGCAACAGTTCGGTAGGCGGCATGAGTATGTCGCCAAACCAAGGCTTACAGATGCTGGGCAGCAGGACCTACAGCTTGGCCGACCCCAGCACCGCAGGGCAGATGAGTGGAGCTCGGTATGCGGCTTCCAGTAACATAGCTTCGGTGAACTCCGGGCCAGCCGTGCAGTCGCCGTCTTCCTACCAGAACAACAGCTATGGCCTCAGCATGAGTAGCCCGCCCCATGGGAGCCCTGGGCTGGGCTCCAGCCAGCAGAATATCATGATCTCGCCCCGAAATCGCGGGAGTCCCAAGATGGCCTCACATCAGTTTTCTCCTGTTGCAGGTATTCATGTTGGTGTTTCCTTTTCTTCCTTTTCTTTGGTAATTCTTTTCTTTCCATACCACTGTAATTCTTGTGAAGTTAATTCATTTTGTAATAGAAACTCTGAAGAGTTAAGCGGTGTTTTAGCATACCATCTGCTAGTCTAATTCTTTTCCTCATTTTTCTCCAAATCCAGGCGTGCACTCTCCCATGGGGTCTTCTGGCAATACTGGGAGCCACAGCTTTTCTAGCAGCTCTCTCAGTGCCCTTCAAGCTATCAGTGAGGGCGTAGGGACGTCTCTTTTATCTACTCTGTCTTCACCAGGCCCCAAATTGGATAATTCTCCCAATATGAATATAACCCAACCAAGTAAAGTGAACAGTCAGGATTCCAAGAGTCCCTTAGGCTTGTATTGTGACCAGAATCCAGTGGAGAGTTCAATGTGTCAGTCAAGTAGCCGGGATCACCTCAATGAGAAAGAAAGTAAGGAGAGCAGTGCCGAAGGTTCGGAGAACCAAAGGGGTCCCCTGGAAAACAAAGGCCACAAAAAATTGCTGCAGTTACTTACCTGCTCTTCTGATGACCGGGGTCATTCCTCTTTGACCAACTCCCCACTGGATTCAACTTGTAAAGATTCTTCCAATAGCGTCACCAGTCCCTCTGGGGTCTCGTCTTCAACGTCCGGAGGAGTGTCCTCCACATCCAACATGCATGGGTCCCTGCTGCAAGAGAAGCACCGGATTTTGCATAAGTTGCTGCAGAATGGGAATTCACCAGCCGAAGTGGCCAAGATTACCGCAGAAGCAACCGGGAAGGACACCAGTAGTACGACCTCTTGTGTAGAAGGAAGTGTCAAGCAGGAGCAACTAAGTCCTAAGAAGAAGGAAAATAACGCACTGCTTAGATACCTGCTGGACAGGGATGATCCTAGTGACACACTCTCTAAAGAACTACAGCCCAAAGTGGAGGGAGTGGACGCTAAAATGAGTCAGTGCAGCAGCTCCTCTGTTCCTAGCTCGAGTCAGGAGAAAGACGCTAAAATTAAGACGGAAGCAAATGAAGAGGTAATTTGTTTTCTGTATATTTCAGCTTAGTCATTGTGTCTCGTCAGTGCATTTCTGAGTTAGACAATGTGTTATGCAAATTCATATCTTCTATTTTAGATTTATTTAATGGAAGTTAACATTGAGCTGTCATTTCTCTAATTCTTTTGGATGTCAGTAAAATATATTATGATGTAATTTAGAAATATCAGATGTATATATTTTAAACTGTGATGATAACTTGTTAGCCAGTTTGAAATTTTTCATGGAGGTGTTTATTGTTGGAATGGGTAGATTGGTAGAAACAGGAAAAAAATTTTTGTATTAAACAACAGAATTTTGATTTATATCTAAAACTATGTTTCATGTACACAATCGCATTCTATGTAAGCATTTCCTAAACTCTGAGGAACACTGTCTTGGGAGATGTCAGTTTGTGCCTGAGAAAATTAAAATCTTGGAGAAATCCTATTATTAGGATGTCTGTTTAACTTTGTTTAAGCTAGTGTTCTCTAAATTTATTGACCCAAAGCCCCTTTTAAAGCATGCCCATGAATATCATGTTGAATATCAGCTTGTTGCTTTTATTATTAGTCATACCTGTTTTCAGAAGGTATGTGTAGATGCAGACATCTCTGTCAGCGAATGATCCTCGCTAATGTCAGCTGGAAAATATCCTACAGTTTGAGAAATAAACATCTAGTATAAATTTAAAAAAAAAAGTCCCTTTGAAAGCACTTCCAAACCCAGGTATTTATCTTAGTTTAAACTGTTCTTTCAAGGAAGAAGTTTAGGGGAGGGGGCTCATAATAAGCCTGCCTTTAAGTTGGGCATTATTTCAGTTAACTATCGTATTGTACTTGTTCCCATTTCATGTTTTCTTCCAATGAATATGTTTATACCTATGTGACTGGTAGTATACACAGATTAATTTTTAAAAATTTATTTTTAGGGATCTGGTGATCTGGATAATCTAGATGCTATCCTTGGTGATCTGACCAGTTCTGACTTTTATAATAATTCCATATCCACAAATAGTAGTAGTCTGGGAACCAAGCAACAGATGTTTCAAGGAACAAATTCTCTGGGTAAGAAAGAACTAGGTTTTATTCTTGCCACCTTTTAAACTTTTCTGAACACTTGTATGTACTCTTATGCTAAGTCAAGGATCCAACTAGCATACTCTGCTTTTCAGTTTCTTATACTAATTTATAATGTATGTGTTTTGGACATTTTCCTATTTTTAAATTTCCCATTGCTCACTGATATGCCAGTAATCATGGCACTTATAGGAAAATGTTCATCTTTGGTTGCTGCGGATGAGTGGTAAGTACTAGGGCATATATTTTTCTTAGGCACAGTGGATTGGATTAAAAAGCAACCAGAACTGCTCAAAACCTGTCTTTTGGCATTTACGTAATTTTGTCATCTAGTTATGAGACTTCTTTGATGTTTGTCAGTTCTTACCCAGCCTCTCTCGTATAGCCACGTTTCCTCGTTCATCAGTTAAATAAGGATATATTATATGTATAAATTGAAAAGGAATAATTCATAATTATCTGAATAGTTATTCATTATTCATTTTCAGTGGCACTATTTCCTAAACTGAAAAGGATAGTCAGATCAATGAATTAGTTTGGAAAAAGCAAAAAAAAAAGTTAGAAGGAAATTTAAGTTTCATTTCTTGTTTGATTAGAAGGCAGCTTATCTTGTTACATTTAATTGTAAAATTTTAAGCAGAGAAGCCACTTAATAAGTACATATGGAAGAACCTATGGAGTTTGAAACATTGGTAATGTTTTCAGTATTAAGTGAAGCATAATAGGAATGACTGTATCACGCTGCAGATCAGCACCTAGTACTTCATCCAAACAAGACTCTTGTTTCTACTTTGTTTGGAATGCGAGACTGTGTGTGTGTGTGTGTGTGTGCTTAGTGTTTATGTTGTAAAGGAAGACAGTGTTTGTTTTAGTAAGAAAGACATTCTTGGGTGGGCATTGGTATTTATGTCTTATACTTGATTATTTATGTATTGAATCGTCAGAATATTTATATGTATTGTGCTTCTATGTTTTCAACAGGTTTGAGGAGTCCACAGTCTGTGCAGTCCATCCGTCCCCCATATAACCGAGCAGTGTCTCTAGATAGCCCCGTTTCCGTTGGCTCGAGTCCCCCAGTGAAGAACATCAGTGCTTTCCCTATGTTACCAAAGCAACCCATGTTGGGTGGGAATCCAAGAATGGTGGATAGTCAGGAAAATTATGGTTCAAATATGGGTATGTTATTTCTAATTAGTATTCATGATCAAAATTTTTCTTTTGGGAAAAGCAAATTTAACACACTTAAAGTCATTTAAATAACTGGGATTAAGTAATAGGCTTTTGAATGTAAGTAGCACAGTGTTTCTTTCATGAGTATTTCCTTCATTTATTCTGTCTTGGCTGTTTAAACTCTTAAGGAGACTTTTGATGTAAGACATTTTCTAACCTGTAATGAATATATAGCAATAGTGGCCCATCAGAAATGTCGTAATAGTTGGCTAGCCTTATTCATAGGATGGCAAAGCACTTTTTTGTCACAGCCGATGTTGTGTATGATGACTGTACCTATGTGAGATAAGAAGAATTTCATTATAATATGGAAAAGACCTAATCATTTCTACTTCTTGTAGGTGGACCAAACAGAAACGTGACTGTGAATCAGACTCCGTCCTCAGGAGACTGGGGTTTACCAAACGCAAAGGCCAGCAGAATGGAACCTATGAGTTCAAACTCCTTGGGGAGACCAGGAGTGGATTATAGTGCTTCTTTACCCAGACCTACGGTGGGTGGCTCGATGCCCACCTTGCCTCTTCGGTCCAATAGCATCCCAGGTGCGAGACCAATTTTACAGCAGCAGCAGCAGCAGCAGCAACAGCAGCAACAGCAGATGCTTCAAATGCGTAAGCATCCCCTTTATAAAAAAAAATATATAGATGTTTTAGGGTAATTTTTGCTATTGTCTTATTTGAACATTTATCTTTTCTTTTTGTACCCCCAGGGCCTGGTGAAATGCCCATGGGAATGGGGGTCAGTCCTTATGGCCAAGCAGCACCATCTAACCAACCAGGTTCCTGGCCAGATGGCATGTTGTCCATGGAACAAGGCCCTCATGGGACTCAGAATAGGTGGGGCTTTATTTTGTGACTCTGTAGAAAATGTTAGCATCTGATTATCTCTAAAAGAATCAGCACAGGAACAAACCTGAAGGAGAATGAGGAAAACTCTGTTTAATTAGGTACTTGGTTCCCATCTGGGTGTTTCTTGAATAATTGTGTGTAAGAATGAGGCTGAGGCCGCAAGCAGTGGCATTTGTGGAAGAGGAAGCAGACGGAGCCATGTTGTTCAGCTCTCAGGACTGTTGAGCTGTATCAAACTTGAGAGCCTCCGTGGGGTAGTGATCTCTCATAATGCCATAACCCTCCTCCAGGAGGGGGTCATTCAGCACCAGTTTGACAAGGTGTATGGTAGTCAGAGTTGGTAAGCCCACTTTTATGGAAAGTTAATTTTTAAGGATTGGATAATTTTTCTCTAAAATTATTTGAAACATTTCAGAGATAATAGTGACAGCGAACTATAGCACTCTTACTTTTGTAAAAGAAAGATTGTGGATTATGTTTGTATTTAATTTTTATTTAGCTTTGTCAGTAACTCTTTTGCATGAAAGTGGCCACATGTCAGTGTCAATTCTTACTCGAATTCTACAATAAATTAAAGAAAAAATGAATCGATCTATTGAGTAGACAGTGATGTAAATATGAGTATTAACTTGAGTGCTTCTCTACCCCATACAGAGCAAATAGTTTTGTCACAGGATTTTTCTGAGTGAGGAGAAATTTCTGGCTCCATGTACCTTTAATATGTTGGAGAACTGTGGCACCTTGCTGTGGGTGTATGGAGTTTGTATTATACTTGTTTTGTATTGTAATATATACTTATATTAGAGCTCATCAATACATTGTGAGTCAGATATAACAAAAAGTTATTTTGCATGTTCCTAGGCTCATTTCATTGATAGTTCAACATTTCTATCCTTTTTCCTGTTCTTTTATTCATTTCCCAGCTTACAGGTATCATGACTACTACCACTTCTATTCTTGAATAGTCTTGAAAACTGCACCCTCCACCCCCCATCCCTAATCTCTGCTATCTTCCAAATGCCTAGGGGTCTAAGCAGTTACATTTTGGTGGTGGGATGGGGAGGTGTAAGCTAGATATGCTAGTTGAAGATGGTCCGGTGAGTTTAAAATTGTGGGCCTTAAATTTAAATTGATGCCATTTACTCATCTCTACTGCTCAGTTCGTTTATTATTTATACTTGTATTTGAGTTATTATTGTATATTAAAAATATTGTGCACAGTTACTATGATTTTTTTTTTATTTTGGAGAGGAAAGTTGAAATTGATTGCAAGTTTCTTTTTAGGCCACTTCTTAGGAATTCCCTGGATGACCTCCTTGGGCCTCCTTCTAACCTAGAAGGACAGAACGATGAAAGAGCATTGTTGGACCAGCTGCACACACTCTTGAGCAACACAGATGCCACAGGCTTGGAAGAAATTGACAGAGCTCTGGGTATCCCTGAACTTGTAAATCAAGTAGGTAGCATTAACATGGACACAGAAGTGTGTGCGTGCACATACCTGAAGCTACGTACAAGAATGCCTGTATATCTTTCCTGTTACTTGTGTTACGTTACTACATTCATGGATACCAGCATTAAATTGAGAAAATATACTTTATAATTGTGATAATAGTTTCAGAAACCTATTATTTTATAAAGATGTTAAAATTTTAAGTAACCACAGAAATCCAGTCAAACTACTGTGTACTCTTTAAAAATGCTGCTTTTGCTTATGTTAGCTAAGAGCCTTCATTTTTATAATTACTTCTCTCTGCTACCTAGCCAACTAGTGTATACTCTGAGGAGGCAAGCTTTTTAAAAAATGTTCAACTAAACCCATTTATAATGGTAAATCTGTGAACATCCCGACATCATCCCCTATTCCCAATTACCTGGGCAGCCTTATGGAGGTGTTCCATTCCCAAATCTGTAGTTTTGGAAACATACATTTTCTAGTAGCTATTTTCATTTAAAAGATATGGGGTGCGGGGCTTCTGGTTAGGTCTGTGCATTCAGTAATCAGGGGAGACCTTCAAGGAGTTCCCAGTCTTCGTTAAGGAGACGTGTACAGAAAGAATTATACTTCAGTGTGGCGAACACTGTCACAGAACTTCTTAAAGGGTGGGTGGGAAATACAGACAGTGGTGGTGTCCATTTCCAGGGGTACCAGTCACGAATGACCCTGGCACTGAGGAGCAGAGTCCAACCTGGCTGAGGGTAGATGTGTGGGTTACACAGAGATTTACAGAGCTTGAATAGCCCTGTAAATTTTTATTTAAGCTGGAAACAGCTTTCTTCGTTCTGATGATAAAATAGTTAATTATATAAATATCTGACAATCACAAAAATTTCATATTAAGAAAAAGTTAAAAATCTGTAATCCGGGCACAAAGAATCATCAGTAACTTTTCCGTATGTGTTGTAAAGAAATGGGAGCAGACTTTTAAACCAGTTTTGTAATCTATTTTCCTTTTGGAAATCATTGTCAGTCATCTTTTTCTGTTTAATATATACGTCTTTAATTTTAATGGCCAAATAGAATCTATTACTGAGCACTGTTTAACCAGTTCTCTGCTGA